GAGTGGGGAAGCAAAAATGGGAGTGTAGAGAGGAGTAATAAAGAAAAGGGAGAGAGAGTCCGTAGGCAAGGAGGGCACTTCAAAAGAGAGGTGGAGGGAACATTAAAAAGGGTGAAAACATTGTTACAAATAAAAGACTATTCTTTTCTGTTTGAATTTTGAAAATGAAATATTTTTTGGAACAACAAGGTCCCAGGCGCACCAGCTTGAAGTCACTCAATTAGGGTGCACCAGAAGAAATGGGATGGCCATACCCAGAGCTTGTAGTTATTCCCAGGGATCAACAAATCACTGAATCTACTCACCCATGGCGAGTAGATTTCAGCCAGTCGCCCCGCTTACCAGCAGGGCGCGAATGTGCAGTGCAGGTCATGCACATGCGCAGTGCGGAGCTGGCGAGTAGATTTCGCTGCCGTTTGTCAAGCCCTGGTTATTCCAATATTTACATTTACCAAACCAGCACAAAACAGCATCTGTTTTACCTTATTAGTTAATTGGAAGTCTAAACAACACAGATCCCTTGAAGTACTCAGCTTCAGACTTCCACCCAGGCACACACATCAGATAAAGTTCTACCAAACCCAAAGGATTGGACACATTACCTTCCAGGTCAATAAATATTTCAGACCTTATCCCAAATGCACACTTATAGCCAGTTCTTATTAACCTAACAAAAGTTTATTTAAAAAAGGAGAATTAGTTACAAGATGAATATACAGAGAGACATGAGTTGAATTCTTGAGGTTCACATACATAGTAGAGATGATGATCTTGTAGTTACAAAAAGTCCTTTTAAATTTAGTTCATAGTTAGTTAGTCCAAATCCCAACATCATATTCAGGGTGGTTCCAGCCAATGATTGGGACCTTGGTCCTTATGGCTTAGGTCTCCTCTGAATGAAACCCTCCAGGAGATCTGAGACATAAAGGTAGTAGTGTACGTTAAAGAGGCACCAGGATATCATGGAATCTCATTTCTTATGGCTTGTTGCATTCCCCATAATCATCTAAGCTAGGGATGTTAGCATATAGACATTTATATGATTAGCCAATAAGCCTACGCTTACCAGTTAATCCAGATGACTACATGCACCCCCCCCCCCCCCCCAACAACCTGTGCCCATGGGGAGTTGGCTTAAAGCTAGTTCTCTGCTGATTCTTGCAGAGCCATCTGCTTCCCCCTCTATCCCTGCCACTTCCTACAGCTCTGCCTGGAACTGCTCCCTTGATGTTAGAGACATCAGCTCACTGCTGGATTGTAGACTTGGGCATGCTCACTCTGAAAATGATGCAGGTGATGTGGGCTGAGTCCATCTGGATTTCAGGAACTGGATCCACTGCTGTGGTTGCAGTCACTGGTCTGGGGTCTGGCTCCTCCATCTCTATCTGGATCTCCAGTACTGAGATGTCTGGGAAGATAGACTGAAGCTTGAGAATGGGGTATGCATGGAGGCCTGCTTAGCCCTGCTGTGGGTGACCATTCCCACCTTCTTAGCTTGTCTTACATGGTTGGCTAAGTCCTCTCCCACCAGCATAGGAATGGGATAATCATCATAGACTGCAAAAGTTCCAATTCCTGACCAGCCCTGTTGTGTAAGAGGCAACTTAGCTGTAGGCAAGTCAAAAGAGTCTGCCTTGAGAGTTGAACCAGGGGTGTCTGGGTTCATGAATTCGGGGTTCACTAGGCGTTGGTGGAAGAGTATGATGGCTTAGTACATTTAAAAAGCAGAGGCTCCTTGTCCCCCCGCTATGCCTCTGCCTCCCCTGCTCTCCCCCAGAGATGGTGCTGGGGGGAACCAGCTCTTCAGTTTCTCCCCTCATCAACTAATCAAGTAGTCAATAGAAATTCCATCGACTGCTCGATTCGCTGATAAAACGCAATTTTGACATCCCTATTGTGAGGTAGGCCTTTGGATTGCCCCTGGTGTTGGTATGCCATGTCTAGACCCCACTTCTGATACTCTCTCGAATAACTGTCAGTTTGATTTCCCTTCATCACCTCCCCACCTCTGTTATGGTTTTAGGATTCCCATCTCGGATGTATAGTTGGAGCTCTATAGGAAGGTCCCCTAGAAACTGTTGCATTTGCATCAGGAAAACTAGCTCTTCCATAGTCTTAATTATCTGTTCCTAAGATCCATGTTTCACAGTTTCTTTTAATCTCGTAGGCATATTCGAGCAATGCCATGTCCAGTTTCCACCTTATGGCTCTGAAATGGCAATGGGCATGTTCGGCGGTGAGCCCATCTTAATTTTGGCTTTACGTTTAAAAAGTTAAGAGTCATTCATGTGTTCTCTGGGAATTTCAGTTGCCACTTCTGTTAGGGGGTCCACTAAGTTGGGATCTCAGCTCCACCATGAATTGGTCTTTAGGGATGTTGTACCCAAGACAGACCCTTTCAAAATTCTCTGACGGCCTCTACATCATCTCCTACCTGGTACATTGGATATTTCCTGGGTTGGAGCAGGGTGGTTAGTTGGTGTATTTGGAGTGTCCAGCTGCTTAGCTTTCTCCAGTTCATGCATACACACATTTTTGCTTCTCATCTTCTAAGCACTTCATCTCCATTTCTGCTTTTACACGCTTTTGCTTCTCCTCTGCTTCTAAGCAGGAAGAACTCCATCTTGTTCTTAGAGGTCTGCCTGTCTTAAGGACACTCTCCTATCCTGAAGACAGTGGTGAGTGAGGGGCATGGCTGCCACCCTCTGCTCCTGTCCCCACAAGGTTGCTTCCCCCTGGCCTCACATGGACATTCTCCTGTTCCTCTGCTTTGTGGTATGAATCTTCTCTAGAGGTGGACATCTTGCGAGTAGGAATAAGAGATCCTCCGGAAAAGGGCTTTATTCCGGAGGATCGTGCCAGTCTAGACGCTCTTTTCCGGCTTTTCGGTTCTCCTTTTATAATCATTTAAGTTGAGCCTCTGTTATGGCATCTTTGAAAAATTTTCATGCAGCATGCGGGGATTTCATTTTTGGCACTGTACCTATTTTTGCGTAACTAATCTCATTTTTGTGTAGTCTCCCTTTCTGAAATTAAATGCTTCAGTGTTGGGCTGCTGTGATGTTTTTCCCACCACAGGGATGTTAAATTTAATTATATTAGGGTTACTATTTCCAAGTAGTCCAGCATATTTACCTCTTGGAGCAGATCCTGTCTGCTACCTAAAACTAAATCAAGAATTGCCTCTCCTCTTCTGGGGTGCAGGACTATCTGATCAAAAAAACAGTCATCAATGGGGTCTAAAAACATTCTCCCTGCATCTTGTCCTGAGGTGACTTGGTTAAAATCCCTCTTATTATTGCATTTTCTGTGTTTTATTATGAATCCTGTCTGATCTCCCTGAGTATTTCACTATCACTGTCATCTCCAGGTGAGATGGTTGATAGTCTGTTCCTACTTCTACACTCTTATTTATTCAAGCATGGAATTTCATTCAATAGGGATTGTAGTACTATTGGATTATAATATTTTAATTTTATTTTACTCCAATAGTGCAAACTATTCTCCCATTACTATGTGAGCTGGTATTACATATTCTATTTGATTATCTGTGAAATAACTGTGAATCAATCAATGAACCTCAATGGGAGTGTGAAACTTGAGTATTAAGAGATTGCTTTGTTTCTTGCAGGTCCCTTAACATGGACTTTGAGAATCAAGACAAGGAGAAAGACAGCAGCAGCTCACCTGGATCTTTCAATGGCAACAGCACCAATAACAGTAAGCACTCATAACTGCTCACATTAGTCCTCTTGTTTTCCCATAAGCTGAGCTAGTATGCTGCATTCAGGAATTTATCCATTTTATGTACTCTTGTGCTCTGCTGCTTGGATTTTTGCGATGTAGTGATGACATTTTATGTAGGCCAGTCTAACATGTAGACTTGATTTTAAAGTATGGTATAACTTTCAGGAAGGTACCTTTTGTGTGCTGGTAAGCAGTTCATTTTGAAGGAACTTGGTTGGCATGTATTCATGTACTTTTATGTGCCCAATCAATGCAGCCTCTGAAACAGAGTTGTTTTTTCTAAGTGATACTCACAGTACATATGCTCAGACATTTGTTCTGTTTTATTAATATAGTCTCATCCTCGTTACCAGTCTTTCTTTACCTGAAGAGCCTGTGCGTATTGTCAGTCTTCTAGTAACAGATTTAGAAGTGGAACAAATGTTTAAAGAGCCTATGCACATGGGGAGTCATTCTAGAATAGCTGCTCCTGATGAATTCACTATCTATGTGTATACTCTTCTGAAGCAAGAGTGCTGTATTCCAAATCAGTTTAATCCAGTTAAGCATCCATTGAAGATGCTTTTCTCCATAGCAGTTTGTTCTGCCAGAAGAGAAGAACAGGAAGCTTCACTGAATCATTTGGTTTTTTTCTCCCAGAATAATGGCTAAATGTCTGCCTAAATTTAGATCTTAACCATTCTGTGTTTTATGTGACTCATGATGTGGCCTTGCCTGCATTTCATTCTAATCCATTATAGCTCTGAGGAAGAAGTCTATACTATAGAGCTCTTGCTATCTAGGAGTTTGTGGGCAAAAGATCTTAGTGTCTCTCACAAGCTGCCTGATCTCTCCACTAATACATTATAGTTGATTAGAGTAGCTTAATAAACTCTGAGAAGGCTGTTTTGGATAGCTTGCAACTTCTGTATCTTCTAACAGTGGCCAGTGCTAGGTGCCCCAAAGGGAACGAACAGAACAGGTAATCCATCAAGTGGTCTATCCCCAGCTTCTGGTAAACAGAGGCTAGGGCAGATGTGGCCAACCACTTAGAAATGAACAGCCAAAATAGCTGTGGATAGAGTGCAAAGAGCCAGGTATTATATATTTATTTATATATATCTAGATATAGATATAGTACACAAAATGTAGTGATAAAAATAACATTACAGGACATTTTAGACAAAAACCAATAAAAAGTCCCAATAAACCAATTAAAAATAAAAAGTCTTTAGTCACTTAAATATTTCACGGCCAGTCCATAGATATTCAGCGAACTTGACAAGGAACAAATATCAAATTAAAGAAAACCCTCACACTTAAAAAAAAGCATCCCCACCATGTATTTTAAATTTAACACTACTGTCCTGTGAGTTTTTTAAAATTAAATTGAATTGAGAAGTAAATTAACCCAAGCTGGAGTGAAACAGGCACTTCAGGTTGTTGATCTCTGGTATGGTTTCCTCATTTTTTTTTAAACGTATGAAAATTATGGCTTTTTTATAGTTCTAAAAATTCAGGTCTGTCCCAGACTTCAAATATGACTGGTTCAAAAACAATAAGGGAGAGACTCATGTCTCAGAAGAATTGCTTCAGCCTGGCAAACAATAGCCTTTGAATTTTCTTTAAAGAAACTCTGTGTAGACCAGGCACATGCTGATTCTTTTTTTGCCCTTGAATTTAAATATGACATCTGTGTTGGCTGCCTTATTCTGCGTCCGTGAAGACTTTGAGTTTAAGATGTTTCATCCCCCTTTCTGCCCCTCCCCCCCCACTCTAACCCAGTGCCTCACCCTTCCCCCAGATCCAGGCACCTTTAGCCCCCTGCCCTAACCCAATCCCTCACCCCTCATCCAGAGCCAGGCACCCTCAGTCTCCCGCTCTAACCCAATCCCTCACCCAGAGCCAGGCACCCCCAGCCACCCTCCAACCTAATGCCTGTGTCTCACTGGAGCCGCCGCCATGCACTTCTCCCTCCAGGTGCTGGGGCACGTGTGCAGAATGACTGGACGTGAGCAGTTTGGGTGCGCAGCTCAGAACTAGCAAGAGCCACATTTCTTGGAGCAAAGAGCCACATGCCACTCTAGAGCAGTGGGTTGGCCACCCCTGGGCTTAGGACATCATTCTTGCCCATCCTGGCTAATTGGCCTATCTTCCATACATTTATCTAATTCTTTTTTTTTTAATTCTGTTGGTGTCTTGGCCTCCATAATATCAAGGACATCTTTCTGCACATAATTACAAATGCTTAGTGCTTGGAGAAACGGTTTTCATCTTCAGGGCTTTTTTAAAACATTAATTACGATAATGACCCTGTGAGGTGGGTTAGTGTCAGTGTTCCCTCTAAAGTGTGTGGCAGCACAGCTTCACAGGTGATTAATCAGCCATGCCCAGTCAGAGGCTCAGGGCTCCATGCATGGAGCTATCTGACTAGGTGGGGCTGATTAATCACCTGTGAAGTTGTGCTGCCACCCAGCTTGGAAAATTGAAATGTACACGTTATTTTCTCTTGCCTTCAGCAAGGCAATTATTAGAACCAGATTAGAATTTGGGGATTCATAGGTCCCCATCCCTCAAATCATCACAATGTCTATTTTTAGTATAACTCTGCTGCCTTTTAATATACAGGCAGTCCCCGAGTTACGCGGATCCGACTTATGTCGGATCCGCAGTTACAAACGGGGCCCTTCCTCTCCCTGGTCTCCAGCAGACCAGGGAGAGGAAGCAAAGCGGCGGAACACGCGGCCAGCTGACAGCCCAGACGCGTCTGGGCTGTCAGCTGGC